CCAGCGGAGCTGGGCTGTGCTCCAGGGAAAGCCACCTGCCCTGGACATGAAGCAGGACAGCGGGGACCGGGGGACCCATGTTACCTTCTCGAGTGACGCTGGAGGCCGCGTCCAGGGCTTTGGTGCTGAGGTGGCCCAGCACGTTGTCCACGGTCTGGTGGTGCCTGAGGAAGCAGGGCCGGATGACATTCTGGTAGAGCACCTGCGACCCGTTCCAGGACACGGGGGCCATGCACCACACCAGGAACAGGCACTGCGGGGAGGAGAGACGCTCCAGAGCTGGAAGACGGCAGGGCAGGCAGGGGCCGAGTGGGGCAGCCCCCAGAAGGAGGGCAGTGACAGGGCAGCAGCTGAGCTTCTCCAGTCCCCCCCCAGCCTGGCTCTGCCCCTGCCCAAAGGCTGGAGGTACCAGGACTGTGGGGAGTTCCACGGTGGACTGTGGCCCCACCATGGCCACCACCACCGCCCTGCTAACGGGGCAGAGCCCACCACGCTTGGTTCCTCCAAGTTCAGCCATCAGGTGAGAGGACTCTGGCCCTGGCAAAGCCATTACCTTCCCAACGTAGTAGAATGGGAACCAGTAGAGGAAGGTGTCGGAGAAGAACTCGGCTATGCTGAAGACGCCGTACACCACCCAGTACGTCAGCCACGTGGTGTCGTCCTCCTTGCTGGAGCTCTCGATGGCTTTGATGCTGCGGCAGAAGAGGAGACGGGCACTGCTGCTGCTGCAGCCCTGCTGCCAGGGTGGGCACCTCCTTCCCAAGCCCTCCAAACCCTGGAGCAAACCTGCCTACCGGGTGCTGCTGCCCCAAGCTGGGACCGTGCCAGGTCCCAGTGTTTTCAGGAAGGTCCCAAGAGCTTCCCGACCACAACTGCCTGTTCATTTACCAGGCAGACCCTCAGCTAAGGGCAGGGAACGCTCTCCAGGTGCTGCAGGGAGGCTGGGCTGGGACACTGGTACTTACGAGACATAAGCGGGGTAGGCGAAGCCGATGAGGTTGCAGAGCAGCGAGGCGCCATAGCCGAACACCAGGTACAGCCCCAGGAACGCCACAGAACCTGCCAGGGGGGACAGAGGGGATGGTCACGTACCTGCTGACACCGAGATGGCGAGGAGAGACTCTGGCTCAGTTCGCTGAGCAGGTTTCTCATCCCAGTAGTGAGAAGAGGCACATGCCGGCACCCTCCAGTTGGGAATAACGACCACCCCCAATTAATTCCAGTATGACCCTCCACACACCAGACCACTGAGGTGCTCAACACGCCGCTCACACAACCGCGCTGAGCCGCAGCACACGGCAGAGTCTGTCTTGGGGTAGAGGCCCTCCCTAAAAAAAACGGGTGAGCCACTGTACGGCCCCGTCACCGTTTGTCCCCTCCCTGGCCTGGAAGGGACTTTACGGCAACAAACTCGTAGTGCTTCTGACCCGTCACCAGCCTGGACCCGGGCCAAGGCTGCACAGACGTTGGGAGCGGAGACTTTAACACACACCTACAGTCCAAAGTGAAGGGACTCGGCTTCTCCCCCACCCGCAGGGCTCGGAGCCACTTGGCATTTTGATAACGACTGTTCAAGGACAAGCCTTGCTCCCAGAGCCTGCGTCACCTTTCTGCTCCCTGTACACATCCCCTGCACGCACTTGTGCTGAGCAGCCACTGTTCATTAAGGATTCGGCCCCCTGAGAACCAGCAATCCAATCCCGCTTCCCTGTTATTAAATTAAATCGTTAAAATTAAATGTAAGCCATGGCTTTGGTCATTTGGAGCCTGCTCAGCCCTCAGACGCTTGCAGGAGGCTGGATCAGCAGACGGGGGAAGCCGGGGCAAGGAGCCCTTGCTGCTGAAACCATGGCCACAGCGAACAGCCCTCGCCCACACAGGGGCTCAGGGGGCAGGGAGATGCCGGCACCCAGCAGCTCCCTCCCAGCCTGCCTGAGGCAGCCGAAACACAGACCCCGAAGAGGCAGGGCGCAGGAAAGCAGCCTGGGGACACGCAGAGCCGGCCTCGAGGGCATTTACTGTCCCAGCCCGGCAACCTACCCTGCGTACAAACTCCTCCATCCACGTAAGCGCCTTGCCCTCCAGCGGGCAGGAAAGCCAGGACTGAACCTGTCTGCCGGTGAATTACAGGAAAGCCCTTGCTTGGGCTCAGAGGATAGATTATCCCCGCTCTGCTCACCGCAGCATTTCTGTGCCTTGCTCTGGCCCCCGGTGCGGGGCAGCCGCGGCTCCGGGCACGAACAGGGATTTGGGTCTTTCATAGGAGACAAGCAGGAGTAACGCGGCTTTGGAGCAATCACAAACCTCCCTTCAAGGAAAACTAACAGGCAGGTTCAGGCAGCGCTGGGTTTCATTCCCCCAAGAGCCTTAGAAGGGATTTCACGGGCTAAGTTTAGCCCCCAGAGAAATTTATGTAACAGCAAAAATACAAGTGAAAGGCTTCACTTACAAAGAAGAGCTGCTGAGGGGGGCAACCGGAGCCGTCCCACGGTGCCTGTCCCAGCAAGGAGGGCAAGCGGCCGGTGTGATGGCCAGCCCGGCTGGCCCCATGCCTTGGGAAGGGGACACCGTCCTCCTCCGGGATGATTTTTACCCAGCCGAAGCCACTGCACGGCTGACCTGGCTGTGCTGCCCAGAGACCAGGCAAGATGGGCTCCAAACTGCAGCCCACGGGTTGCTACTGGCTCCGGAGATGCGGAACCGATCCTGCTGGGTTCAAAGACAAATTAGGAATTGCTCCAGAGCCAGGGGAGGGAGAAACCGTGTGTTTTTAGTTTAGCAGCAGCTTCTCCTTTCCAGGACAGGGACCGAGAACACGGGACCATCGCTCTTTGGTGGAAGTGGTGCCTCCGTTATTCCCCCACCCCCAAAAGTCCATCACACCTGAGCACGACCAAAGCCCCGGGACCGTTTTGCTTGGAAGATGCCCGACTGCCACGTACCACATCCAAACACAACCCGCTCGCAGCGGCACGTGCCCGTTCATGGACCCCTTTCCCCCTCGGAGCGGGAAAACGAGCCCTGCAGCAGGTAAAGGACCAGGAAATCGCAACGGGAGGCAAAAGGCAGCAGATGCACCTGGTGGGACATGGGCAACCGGGAAACCCCCAGCACCTCTGGGAGGTTTTATATAAAATACCGAATCGGGGAACGCAGACGGGCAAGTCGTAAATTGGCAGAGAGCGGCATGGGGCCGAGGGTCAGAGCCGCAGCGAGGACAGGAGAGGGGTCACGTCACGCCGGGAGGACCACGCTCCCCGGGGAGATGCCGGCCGGTTTCTCATTAACGAGCAAACAGGATCTGGTTAATGGCGGGACCTCTGCCCTCCTACCGGGGAGGGAGGCGAGTCCCATGGGACACCGGGACGGGCGCTTGCGTCCCCAACACCCGTTC